TATTATAGCCAAACTCATCGATTCCGTGGAATTCCGTAAAACGTGAAAAACGAGCGTAATCCCGTATATAATAATTGGGAGATATGAGATTTATACAGAATAGATCAGGAATAAATTGTCGTACGAGAGCGAAAAGAAATTCGATAGAATATAATTGGCATTCTAAAGTAGACACGATAAAGATTCTTGAATCGACTCACAGTCGCTCAACGACCCGTAGCCATTGTTTTCCATTCGAAACACGCGATGGCATCTACGATCAAATTAAATTGAAAATCCGTCACAAGTTTTGGAGTGATAAAAATTTCGAAAAATTCGATTCGTGTTATTCCTATCCGAAGGAGTTTACCTCTGGGTCGTCGAGCGAATAGGTGTAGCCAATCGTTAAGATGGACAGACTAAGTCGGCAGATCGGTCTCATACCGGTTCGACGATTGTGGTAAACAGTAGCGGATCACAAAAAACGCGTAATCGTGAAAGAGCGTGAGGGGGTTACAGCCCACGGGCCCCTGGACTGCTTGGAATATTTACCGCACTCTTTACCTGCAGTCCCCATATTGAGAATGCTGATCTCCCCGAAGTATGAACCAGCCTTCAGGGTAGCCAGGACGGTCTTCCCGTTGTCGGCAACTACTTGCAGTCGACCCCTGTTCACTATGTACATTTCCTTTCCTACCTCACCTGTGCAACGAGAAGAAACGACATAGGAAAGTGAGTAAATTATGCATATTCATAAAGGACCATTCACACAACGCACTTTTACATTATCGTGAAAACTTACCTTTACGACATATATAATCACCAGGTGAGAAGAGCACGGGACGTAACCTTAGTACGAGTTCGCATAGGAAGCCAGCCTCTGTATTCTGAAAGATTTCGACTCTTCTCAGAGTGTCCAGATGAACGTTAATGGCGATTTCGGCCTTGAGCTTGTCTGTAATTATACATTATATATATATAATTTGATATTTCACCAGCTACTGTGGATGATATTTCGATATACAAGAGTCAAGAAGAAAACTCATAAACCGTCTGGAGCTTTCGAAAAGGCAACGTTGGAAGGAGACTGAAAACTTTTATCGTACCTCGGAACAAACAACAATATGTATCATCAGTTATTAAACAATGGTTCCAGTTTTAGAGGAGTCTATAGTTTCTCCCTCTGCATAGAGCCTCTTAAAACTTTACTCCAACCGACGGAATGATTTGCACGAGGATATCAGAAGCGTAAAAATAATTCCACTGTTGGCCGATACCTTTCACTTGGAATCATGATAAATGCACTTTGATCTCGCGTCACTGTAACGATGACGTTTTCTGACACTTTTTATGCAATGAGTATGTTGAGATCTCAAGGAATTTGATATCGTTAATATCCCCGCGTTTGACTCCCCGTCAATGTCATATGTGTATAGATATACAGTCGAAGTATCAGTAGAGATTTTAAACTCTCTATCTTCGATATTTCGTATTTCCTATGCCGTCAATGAGTGCGAGAGAGACATACCCATCGGCTATTACGTAAGTGTGAGTGAGACAGTCGTACCGGTCGATCAAATTCTTGTGTCTCTGTCCATTCGGTATCATCATAAATGTTATCGCTGTGTCTGATGAAATTTCATGCAAATATGTGTTTTCACATTGATGGCTATCTTGCGAGGGTACTTAGGAGAAGTGTTGGCTGACGAAGGTTATGATACGCGAAGGAGACAAGGGGCAGGTCGAATACGAAGGGAGGGTAAGAAAACAAGAAGATCGTAACCTGTGTCAGTTTCACTGTTTCTCGCGGTAACTGCAGCCTTAATAAATGTCAGCGTATTCACGTAATTGCCCATACACTAGGAATATTATGTATTTTCACATTACAGTCTTTACGACTCTCAGACCTCGTAAGGGATCGCATCATCGTTATTACGCGTCTTCTTTATGTATCTGACGATCGTCAACGGTGTCATGAACTTTATTCTTTTCGTTCTTCCCCTTCTAACTCATTTTAATGACCTCGGTCGGTAAATGGGTGTACTCCCTTTTGTCAAATGCTTCGTATCGTTAATCTGTTTTACCTACCGGGAAGACAGCTGACAGCCTTCTCCTCGTCGGAGCACTTTTGAGTTAGCCAAAGATAATCGAACCATTTGATGACCTTAACCTGAAGATGATTGGGCACCCTTCTCATACGCATGTACGTCTTCACACCGTCCAGTTTGGCTGTAATATAAAAAGATACTATACAGGTACAGTTTCTTGGTTATAAATACAGAAATGACATTTAATCAGTCGTCGAGAGAATTCGTACGGGTTTCTATGTACCTATTAATTATTATCGTATGACATTAAATCTGAATAATATAAAAATTGAAATTAATAATTATCTGTTATATATTACTAATGTCAGTAGAAAATAGTCTGCGAAGATCGTATCTGCTCGTGACAGTCAAACCTATGAATTGACTTCAAGCCAGGTACAGTATTGCGCAAAAACTGTGTAAACTAAGCAGAGAGGTCACGCGTGCGACGCACGGCGACCAACTGGGTGACGGAATTTACCGTCGCGACGCTCCTCGCTTGCCGAATTACGGTAGGTCGTGGACGTCCAGCCGTACGAGCTGTGTAAACTCGTCGCTAAGCCAGACTAGTGCAGCGCACGGAGTGGTACTGGCCATTTGGTAAATAATATAATAGTTTTGCATCTGAGAAATTAATGAGAAAAAAACATGGAGAATTGACGAAGGCGCATAAACGATTATTTATTTATAAAACAGCGAATATCAAAACAATAATAAGCTATTGCGTTCGAGGCCTTTACCATATTTATTATTCTTTTATTAATTATCTTCAACCAACGATCGTATATCTGTATTATCGGATCGGCGCCTGCTCGACGGCTATTTTTGCTTAAATTACCGATTTTCATCAACACCAATTTTGTCTCATGCGGACTTTCAGGATTTTATAAAATTTTAAGAACTTTATCATCGCACTATAGATTTATGTCGAACGATTCGATACCTGATTCTTCAATTTTTAGAATTTTATTTATGAATCGGATATCCGGTGGTCCGTCATGGCGTGTCCTGTTGAGTTGGAAAAACATTGGGTACTGCGTGAAATCAGTACCGAGCGTGCAAAAGATTTGGACCACTTTATTTTCTCTCGGCAGATTTGTCAACCGGTAGATAGCTCCCTAGAAAAACATGTATACATACACTCAGGCATTTCTACCGGGAAATGACGTAGTTCGCTACTAGGAGCATCGAATATCCTGGTTAAACTGGAAGTAGGAAAATGCGCAAACTCCTCTCGAGATTTGGAACGAGAAATAAAAATTCTACCCTGATGCTTCGTCACGGAAAAACCATAGCACGTGTTATTAATGCAACGGGACATTTTCGTCATGTTCAATAAATATCCGACCACTTATATCACGAGTATTGCCGGCTGAGGAAACTCCCCACGGATACATGGTGATAAACTTTTGTCACTGGTTGGGAGAGCGATCGATGACGTCAACGGTTACGTTATTTTTGGTCGCAAGGGGTTGGTCACGCGCTTCTACTCGTCTATGAGGAAGATTGGCATCCCTTGGGTTATCCACTCAACTCATTCATCCCCATGACCGCAGAAAGAGAGGGTAGTTCTTGTAGGCAATGAGACGAAGTCTCTGCTTGTCGTTCTAGACATAATGCCCGAAACGCTATGAATAGTCTGAAGAAAAAAACAACGAAGTAACGGAAAGTATGACAATATGTAATTAGTATAATATATCCAGAAGAAGGAAAAACAAAAGTATGGTTTTTAAAACCAAAGTAACTCTTGGATACGACCTCAGGCGTTGTGTAAAGCTGAAAAGAAAAGCATAGAAGATACAAACAACATTTACTCCCAACAAACTATCTGAGAGAAACAAACAATATTACAATGGAAACTCGTTAAACTACACTTGCGTAGGTGATCACGCAAGTGAAAGTGTACAATTGAGAAAAACGAAAGAAATGTTTTAGAATGACAATATGAAAAAATAATAGTTGGGTCAGTTTTTGCGCACGTCGTGTAATAACATTTGTACGAGTTCGCACGCATAAGCATATGAAAATCCAATAGGTATCCCCAACGAGGATACAGAAATATTGGATTGTTATGACAAATGCGAGTTTCAGTATAAAAATGGGAGATGCTGGTCAGTTAATCATCAGTTGCCTCTGGCACGTTTGAAAATGCGTTTCCTGACGATTTGTATTTCCCTCCTGCTGTGCGGCATCGCGGTCGCATGGCCGACGTTCCCGGGAATTGGAGATATATCATTGTCGCAAGCTACCGCAGGTGCAGACAGCATCGCACTATCGGACGCTGGTACGTCCTCCAATTGGGCCAATGTTGACACTGTATCAGCGGGAGATACAGTTCAATCAGTCAGTGAGACTTCAAAAGATGGACACACCTCCAAATCCGTAAAAATTGTAGTACGGAATGGACCCGATGGATCGTCTTCCTCTTCCTCTTCATCTTCCTCTTCCTCACACTCATCGTCAGATGGAGATGATAATAGTGGGATATCGTTAGGGAGCGTTACTTCTGGAGCCGCAACCTCTGCAGGAGCTGTCAATCTAAACGGTAAGTTAAACAATGTCTACGGTGCTATTCGCACTTGGTACTGAAGCAGGAATTGTAATTAATAAATTGAAATGATAACAGACATAGCATTATCCACTTCGCATGGAAAGCGAGGTTCGTCATCTGGTGCCAGTGCTGCTGCTCAAGCTGCTGCTCAGGCCATCGCAGCATCCCGATCAAAAAGTCATGGATTAGCAGCATCTAACGCCGCTGCCGTTGCTGCTGCTAAAGCCCAATCAGCATCCAAATCGGCAAGCAATTCTGCTTCAGCTGCTAAAGCCGCAGCCCAAGCCGCTTCACAATCCAGCTCAGTATCCAAATCGGTCAGCAGTGCGGTTTCACGTGCTAAGGCCGCCGCCGAAGCCGCTTCTCAATCCAGCTCAGCATCCAAATCGGTCAGCAGTGCGGTTTCACGTGCTAAG